ATCTATCTCGATAGATATCTCGATAGATCTATATATATAGATATCTAGATCTATAGATATATAGATCTAGATATATAGAGATAGAGAGATAGAGAGATGGATAGATAGAGAGATAGATAGATATGAAAATAACCCCATGGTAAAGCCTATTGACACATCTTGGTCTTGATTACGGATGCACCAGTACTGGTTAGATTGCAATTTTCTGGCGAATTCCAATTTAAAAAAAAAAAATAATAATCTTAACTGCCGATTACGACTTTTTTTCACCACTGTCCCGGAATCATCCCAAACATATTAGTCAGTGTAAAACAACAATTCAAAATGTTATCCTATTACTTTGTTTATGTCATCTATAGTGGTCATTTGCATAAAAATACACAATTCTAATGATAAAGATATAAATGTGTATATACTTAAATACTTGCTTTGATAGAAAATTATCTTGGAATTAGTAGAATTAATAATATATTATAAACTGCTTGGAGCTAGTGTTAGAGGAAATTATGACTTGTTTAACTTCCTAATATCTATTTTATATTGCTGTGAAAACATCTCCTTCAAACAACTATTTTGAATGTTTCACACGAAAAAAATAGATTTTACTGAGTAGTGCTTAACATATTTTAATCAAAGCAAATATTTCAATAAAAATACAATAATTTATTTCCTAATCATTTGAATTGTTCGTTTCATTCAAATAGCCACTAATGATCACAATAACAGAGTAAAGGGATAATATTTATAATTTTTTGAATATTTTTTCTGGGGCGGTGGTAAAAATAATTTATTCTGGAGCCTTGCTCTCAAATATAGCTCCTAGAAAGAAAATCTGATTCGGCAGGTCCGGCTTTAACATAAATCAATCAGAAATCGGAACCCTAAAATTGAAATTGGTGTATCTCTAAAATGTAGTCAAATGGTTTAGTCCCAATTTCAACCAACTGAAACTTCTCATGTGCCAAGCGTGCAAGAGAACTACGATGGCCTTATGTAGAGCCAGTGTTGGGTTCGTCTGGTCTGGCTACTGTAGGCACATTGCGGTGGAGCATGATGGACTCCGTGAAGACGACCCGCTCCGTATGTAAATGTAAGCCGCTCATTCTAAGGTAACGACAACACGATTCTTATTTCCACTGAAGAAAGCATACGTACCAATATTATACTCCATTTCTACTAATAGATCCCCCTAAATGCTACACACTGGCCCTCGTTGTTAGTCAAGGTAAAACTCACTTGTCGTCTTTGCTCCTCATCAAGAGCACTCTGTCGGACCTTCTCCTCCTCTTGCCTGACCTGCTCCTCCTCCTCCCTCTTCTTTCGGTCCTTCTCCTGGTCTGCAAGGAGGGAGGCGAGATAGGCCTCGTCCTGCTGCTGCCTGAGCACCTGGGTCTGGCTCCTCTCCTCCCTGAAACAAAACATGTTCTGTACTTATAAACTGAGAAACGTTTCTGGTATGCTGGCCGGCTGCAGTGGTTGCTTTAGACATTCAGGCTCGTAACAATTCCATCCTAATCTACATCCTAATTACTCATTTTAATGTGCAAGGAGGAAATCCCACAGCATGGGATCCTTCTGCATCAGTGGCGCAGATACACTGGCACCGCACTGTGACCGATGCCTCCAGTCAGCCTTCAGATCTTTGCATCATTCTTAATTAAAGAGTCAGTCAATGACGGAAACTATTTGGTTAAAGTAAACAGAGACAGATTTACTGTGATTTGAAGAAAGCGGACATTTCAATCTCTAGCTTTGAACCAACAACTTACACAAAAAGTTTAAAAAAAACAACATAAAACGAGAAAAAGACTTCACCAATGAGATCGTCTCATTTCAAGCAATCGGATGTAAGTTTATTGATTTCAAGTACCGTTCCATGCGCTCCGACATCAGGTGAGTTTGGTTGGCATCCATGATGAAGGTGAGCTGATTGATGAAGTCCTCCGGCTGAATGACGCCCTCGAGCCTGCCCACCACGGTCATCTTGCGGTCCTTCAGCATGATCATGGCCAGGAATGGATAGGTGTTCTCTCGCAATGCCTGGGACACTGAAACACGCCCAAATAACACGCGGTCAAATCTCACTGCTTCAACGGCGCTGCTCGTGTACATTTTATTTATCTAATTAGACGGCCGACTCGTCCGAACGCTCGCACACAAAACAAACCACATCCTACTTGGTCATTGTGGTAGCTAGCATGCTATTAGCTTGCTTAAGATTTGAGTTCTCCACTGAGACTGTAATTGCCTCCCAGTAACTACTGCGACACAGGAGAGGGGAATGGCATTTTGTTTGTAGAAAGTCAACATGCACATCTTTTCAGAAGCCATCTCCCAGTTACTGTTGGTAATCCACAGGACTCATTGCCCCCTTTATTCTCTGGATGATTTTCACAACACAACACAACACAAATATCTTTCCTTGTATCAGTGTGGTGGCAGAAGTTCCAATTAACTCAAAACCTGAAACTATTAACACAATAAAAGACAACCACCTTAAGTCAAAGACAAGGGGCATTTTACCCATATTCAAATCCAGTTTTAGATTGTCTCATATCTCCTTTATACAGGAGGCATATATGAAGTGTGAGTGATAGATATGTTTCATGCATGCTACATACTCATTAACAGCTGACACAAGAACTGGTGGGTTGAATAACAATAAATGTGAATACCTCTGTAGCCCTCAGGCTTGCTGGTTGAGCACGCCCAGAAGAGCATTTGTGTGTTGAGGAAGGTTACGACCTCTTCTGTACATAACGTGGAGCTAGGAAAGTGACAAATGAGTGGAACAAAATAAAGCATTTATAAGGGAAAGCTTGTTTCATGTGCACTTGAATACAAAAACACAGTTTTATATGAATATATTAATATTGGACTAGAGATGCTGTGCCTTTATAAACATGTGGCAAAGACTAAACAGGATGCACCTTCAATAAAAAACAGAAGTAAATGTATGATACAGAAATAGAATGACACTGAGCAATGACAGGCGCTGTGCAACACATTCTGATGGCTGACACTCAATCGATGTAGGCATGTAAGGTAATAACTATCGTACCGGCAAAACTCGTCGGTGTCTTGATGATCCTCGCCATGAAGGTACACTAATAAGTAGCGGAGCTCCCGTTTGGCATCATTCAATGCCTACACATTTCAGGAGGAATAAAAGCAACGCAACATATTATAATTTCACCGTGTCTGCCAACTAAAATTGATTCAGAGCAGAACAAATGTATGTTTGTAACTGTGCATGTGCTCACTGAACTCACCTGGCTGTATGTTCCCTGGTAAAATACAGGGTGTGACTGACCGTACTTCTCCTCAAAACTATGAATGAAGGACACAACATCTCCGACTGGGTCTGTCACACGGCCACGAGGATCTGGCCTGACGAAACGCAGGGCGAACCTGAAAGAAAAAGGACATTGTGGTGACCAATAGCCATCCTCTAATCTGCAGCTCCACGTTTTCAATGTGCTTAAATTACCTGAATATGTCCAGAAGTGTGTAATATGTAAATCTGAAAGGTAGCATTATCAAGTAGTAACTCCATCCTATTAATCCCTGAAAAGAAGAAACAAAGCAGTCTATTATATTTAGACAGTAGAAAATAGGTAGAAAACCATATTCCAGAATACCACTAAAATACAATTATAAATAACAATATCACTTAGAAAAAATAACTACTTAGATTCAACATTCTTCAATGATCGGCTTCAAAGTAACAGTCACGCTACAGTGTGGCTGTGTGTTTAGCAATAGTTTCACTGAATATTGTAAGAGAAATTCAGTTTATTTTTTTGTGTGGTGAAAACATTGAACATCTATGCAGACATTTCATCTTAAAACACAAACATTAAAAGGAGCTGCAGACTTACCCTGGGTTGTGGCCTTGAGACGATGTAACTATATACTCTATGGTCTGCTGTATTAACCTGTAATGGTCTGGATGGTGGAGGGTTAAACACGCTGGGCACTCCTTCCTGCTCATTAAGTCTGTCCTGTACTGCAGCCTGAAACGGATACATTCAAGTCCATCATATTAAGAGTCAAGTCCTTCAATAAACCAAAAGAAAAGAACGACTGATTAATTAACAGTTCACTAAATCTGTATGGGATTAAAGATGTAAATAGTGTAGGGCTTGGCTGTATATCAACCCTTTAAGGTATATAAAATATAACTTGAGACAATACTGTTTGTCTCTATATATACAGTGGGGAAAAAAAGTATTTAGTCAGCCACCAATTGTGCAAGTTCTCCCACTTAAAAAGATGAGAGAGGCCTGTAATTTTCATCATAGGTATACCTCAACTATGAGAGACAAAATGAGAAAAAAAAAAAAATCCAGAAAATCACTGTCTGATTTTTAAAGAATTTATTTGCAAATTATGGTGGAAAATAAGTATTTGGTCAATAACAAAAGTTCATCTCAATACTTTGTTATATACCCTTTGTTGGCGATGACAAAGGTCAAACGTTTTCTGTAAGTCTTCACAAGCTTTTCACACACTGTTGCTGGTATTTTGGCCCATTCCTCCATGCAGGTCTCCTCTAGAGCAGTGATGTTTTGGGGCTGTCACTGGGCAACACGGACTTTCAACTCCCTCCACAGATTTTCTATGGGGTTGAGATCTGGAGACTGGCTAGGCCACTCCAGGACCTTGAAATGCTTCTTACGAAGCCACTCCTTCGTTGCCCGGGCGGTGTGTTTGGGATCATTGTCATGCTGAAAGACCCAGCCACGCTTCATCTTCAATGCCCTTGCTGATGGAAGGAGGTTTCCACTCAAAATCTTACGATATATGGCCCCATTCATTCTTTCCTTTACATGGATCAGTCGTCCTGGTCCCCTTGCAGAATAACAGCCCCAAAGCATGATGTTTCCACCCCCATGCTTCACAGTAGGTATGGTGTTCTTTGGATGCAACTCGGCATTCTTTCTCCTCCAAACACGACGAGTTGAGTTTTTACCAAAAAGTTCTATTTTGGTTTCATCTGACCATATGACATTCTCCCAATCCTCTTCTGGATCATCCAAATGCTCTCTAGCAAACTTCAGACGGACATGTACTGGCTTAAGCAGGGGGACACGTCTGGCACTGCAGGATTTGAGTCCCTGGCGGCGTAGTGTGTTACTGATGGTAGCCTTTGTTACGTTGGTCCCAGCTCTCTGCAGGTCATGCACTAGGTCCCCCCGTGTGGTTCTGGGATTTTTGTTCACCGTTCTTGTGATCATTTTGACCCCACGGGGTGAGATCTTGCGTGGAGCCCCAGATCGAGGGAGACTATCAGTGGTCTTGTATGTCTTCCATTTTCTAATAATTGCTCCCACAGTTGATTCAGTCTTCCCAGCCTGGTGCAGGACTACAATTTCGTTTCTGGTGTCCTTTGACAGCTCTTTGGTCTTGACCATAGTGGAGTTTGGAGTGTGACTGTTTGAGGTTGTGGACAGGTGTCTTTTAAACTGATAACGAGTTCAAACAGTTGCCATTAATACAGGTAATGAGTGGAGGACAGAGGAGCCTCTTAAAGAAGAAGTTACAGGTCTGTGAGAGCCAGAAATATTGCTTGTTTGTAGGTGACCAAATACTTATTTTACCGAGGAATTTACCAATTAATTCATTAAAAATCCTACAATGTGATTTCTTGGATTCTTTCCCCCCATTCTGTCTCTCATAGTTGAAGTGTACCTATGATGAAAATTACAGGCATCTCTCATCTTTTTAAGTGGGAGAACTTGCACAATTGGTGGCTGACTAAATACTTTTTTTCCCCACTGTATGTATGTATGTATGTATATATATATATATATATTTTTTATTTGATGTGGTGTTAATCCATTTCTTCAGTAAAATTGTGCCAGTGTTCTCTTCTCACACAAACCCGGCCCCCACTCGCTCTTTTTTGGCTGAATTGCAGCTAAGCGGGGGGCCAGCCCTATAAATGTGACAGTGTGTCACCGAGTGACTGACTGAATGATGATGTAACACCATTGGTTGAAGTGAGCGATTACGTTACACCGTGATCAATCAGCGGATCATACATACAATATGTACGCATTTGTGGTTTTTTTTCTTCCGTCAGCCAATAAAATGTATATTTCCCTATTTATGTATTTCAAACATCAAACCTTGAAATTGTAGGGTGTTGACACAGTTAGATGCATATGTTATAAGAAGTATCATATAGGCGTAGCTCTGTGGTCGAGTGACAGAGAGATAGCAGATGCATCAGAGCAGAGGAGAAATGAACAGTAAAGTTGTCCATTGGTAGTAAACGTACAGTGTAGGTTTCAGTTTGTATATGAATTAACACTGCAGCTCCTAAAGACCAACATTTGAGGCTGTGGGCATGTTCATAATTGTCATAGGAGGAAACCTCTTTGACGAAGTAACATTAATTACACAATAACACTTTAGATGGGTAATCTAGAACAACAATTGGTTGAAAATGGCACGATTATATTGTTGAATTGATTGAATTAAAGCACACCTCAAATATGTGTCTCAAACATAGCGTAGGCATGCCACGCGATCTATGTGTTGTGATAACGGTGCTTGTGACATCTCACATGTGGCTCTGTCGACTTACCTCTATGTTCCAATTATGCTGTTCTAATGTTCGACGACATTGGTCCATTGATTCCAAACCAGTTAGGTCCTGTTAGACAGAAAAAGAAAGTAAGTCTGAAGGCCTCAAATTGATTGTTTATCCCAAGCAGTATAACGTTACTGGGTTAGCGAGTGTAAGCTCCCCAAAAGTATCAAGAGTTCATAATGGCATCACTCGTATTGTCACAAAACCAACAATTTGATTTAGCGTAGCTAAAAGCAGTGATGTAGCTGATGAATGTAAATGACAGCTCGATCATCACTGCTGTGCTGTTTATTCAGCACGTCTGTAGTTGGGAGCGTCAGTGGACACGGAGCGGTACAGTTAGCCAAGTTAACGGCATTAAACACGTAACACGTGGTGTTGGTTAACACAGTTGAATTTGGTATGTCTTTGAGTATAGTATAGCAAACATTACGCAGTTTAAGGACACCAATGGACCGTAAAGGCTCCTAACTTGTTAGCTAGCTTAGCTAATATTAGCTAGCTTTGCTAACGTTCGCTCTGACTCAAATTGACGGGTAACACTAGGGGGCTATGGGTAAGTTGACAATGCAAAAAGCGTCTGAACACGGACGGTTCCGCCTATTTACGGTGACTCAGCGCCAACAATTGTGTATTAACATATGGTGGATCAAATAGACAAATGTTATTGTGGAATTTAGGCTGTCTACCTGAAATTGAAGGAGTTTTTCTGTCTGCGCCTGAGATAATTCTGGCTCCTCTGGCGCCGCCATCTTACCTCGCCAATCATCTAGCAAGGCGTAACGACGTCAACGGTCTTTTCCTGATGCTGGCTGTGTTCTCACTGCGCCTGCGCTCTACTGCCGCCTAGCGGTCTGGATGTCATCAGTGGGCTCACAGCACCGCTCTGGGTTATTAAAAACATGGTCCACAACACTGAAAACAATCTTTGTATTACTTGCTTTGATCGTACTTGATCAGTAACTGTAAGCGGAGGTGTGCACTCAACATTGATGCAGATCAGTTAAGGAGATATTTGTACAAAATGAAATGTTCGTCAAACAAGTGACTTTTCGATATTTACCAAATAATTAACTGAGATTAATCGATGCTGCTTTCTTTGGTAAATGTCAGTGCTTTTTATATTATTGTTTTATTTGAACAATTAAATAAATGTTCTCCTTGTTCAGTTCGGACTAACAGCTGGCTGGAACTTAAATACAGAAACTTCATTTAATTGATGTTTACATCAGTTTTACCATCACAAATATGAGTCATATTTATAAAATTAAAGAAAAATAAGATATCACTTGAAGAGCAATACCTCCCTTTCTGAAAGACTTTAAAGCAGAAGGTTTTAGGAGTGCAGCTGACACTTCTAATCATGTCTCTCTGTCACTCTCGCATACACACAGAAACAAACATTACGCAATTTGTGCTACTTGAGTGAAAATAGATTTATTTGGCCATTTGTGGTCTGATTTCCTCCAACTTTATCATTCTAAAAAAGATATCCAGTGAATTATGTAACTGTAAAAGTTAAGCTTGTAAGAATATTCCCCTAAGGTTGAATTGTCAGTAAGGAGGTGTACATTTGACAAAGACAAGATCATTTAATTTGTTCTATTCTTAAACATTCTGTAAATTAAAAAGCAAACATTGCATTGAAACAGTAAGATCAGGAAATAATCAGTTTCACCATATAGCACACCGTCTAATTTGTATGTCATCATTTCAAAGTGTTCAGCGACCCCACGTCACTTTTTCCCCTCCACCATGATGATGTGGTACCCAAACTTTGTCTTGACAGGAGGATCTGTGTAGACTGGTTTATCCATTGAACTGACAGAGAGGGCAAACGCTGCATCCTGGAAAGGTCCAACCATCGATCCTCGCGTCATCCACCCCAGATCACCCTGTCATGAACAGAACAATCACGATGAACACACACACTATGCACCTAATATGGGTACCAAGCCAGGATGAAAGTGAGTGAAGAGGAGCAGTAAAGGCAAAGGGAGATTTTAACAACTGTGAGCAATGCAGGAACTTAAAAAAAACAACTTCAACGGTTTCAGTTTCGAGGCGCACTTAGGTCACAAATAAGGATGTGAGATAAAAGCTTTGTTGTACGGTGATGATTCCAACAAATCAAATATTTACATGGTGAGTAACAGCCTGAAGTTTCCCAGTACCTAAGAGTATACCAGTGAATAAGCAGGAAAAGATGTACAGAGTTGCTGAAAAAGTAGCACATTTGCTCAGACAAATTTCTGTAATGGGGTAATAAAGTATTATTACCAGTCTGGAATTCATCACCCATGAAGACTCATGATGAGGTGTAGGCCTGTTCATCATATCTATCATCTTCCATATTTAACACTACCACTCAGGATGTATTCAGCTTTGTAAAGCAGCGCCGGAATTTGGATGAAGCTTTTACCAACTAAACAGAATGCAGTCATAATTATGTGCTGTGTAGACAGGAAACAACAGAGAAGACCATCGCAGTCAAAGCTTACAGTCAATACTGTGGGATAGTTTGAATCAAGCTATGAAAGAGCTAACACAGTCATGTCAAAAAACGGATCAAAACTGCACCACTGATTATGAGTGTGCATGTTCTTACTCCTTGTCTCGCTTTGTCTTCACTGTATTGCGACGCGACTTCACTGAAACGGACTCCGGCCTTCAGTTTCTCCATTGCCTCCATGCATTTTCCATGTTTTTCACAAAGGATGTGTCGAACCTGGGGGAGATGTACAGATCATAAAAACAGAGTTAGAGGTTGGGAGGCAACCCATAACTACTGAACCAGTACTAGATCATGTATACAGGATATGATGTAGATAAAGCTCCCAAATTCCTAAATGTTTTCCGGCCCCAACGCTCCCTCTTCTTTGTGACGCAAAGCTGATGTTTTTGCAGCCATAATGCTTTTGTTTTCCAGTAATAGTTGAGAGATTTTAATTATTTTCAGAGAACAAACTATATCTCTTTAGTGTATTTCATGAAAAATGTACCTATTCCCATCATTGACAATTGAAATGCAATGTGCCAGGACAAGCTCATCAAAAAGAAAAAGGGCAGCGAGGGAAAATCTCTACAGGTTTTATGTCGTCTATTGTAGAACACAGCACTGTGTACATGGTCTTTATTGATTCACTTGTTGTTGTTTTTTTACTTCTCATCAGTGATGCCCATGCAAGTGCATTATCTGGTCCAGGCTCAACCACTCATTCTGACATCATTTCCTTTGAGCCAAAAATGACTTTGAGGTAGGAGGAAGAGACGAGGGCAGTCATGGTTTTATTAAAAGATACCCCTGTTATGTCATATTAAGAGTTCATTGGCAGTGCAGCTTTGGATGAAGGTGTAATTAACGTTACCTTCATAGCAGTGCCTCCCTTTGGTGCTTTCTCTTTCTTGTCAGCGTCTGCACTTGCTGCAGCTGCTCCTACACAACATGACAACACAGCAGCAGTTAAACCAATTAAAAAAAAATAACCACAACATAAAATCATATTGTCGCGAGCAATACTATCATGTTAAATCTAGTGAACTAACGTTAGCTACATCATCACATGGGAGTGTGTAATACAGTCGTTTGCTACCCACGGGCTAGTTAATGTGGATGAAACAGTTCATAACAGCTTAATGGACCACCAACCTTTACCGCCCTTGCCACCTTTTCCCTTTGGTGGCATTTTAGATTAACATGGACTGAAGTTCAAGAGTTAATGCAAAACAAAACACTGTAATAGCATGCGCTCATAACATGCGCAGTAAGCTGCGCACTGAGCTTCGTGTTTCTTCTTCTTTAACATTAATCGGCACACTGCAGCCACTCGAGGTCTATACCGCCACCTAGTGGATTGTACCTCGGGATACAGTCTCAAATGATACAACCGGACAAAAACATAATAAAATAGGGTAGGCCTACGGTATATGTGCAATGCATAAATGTAATTGTGTAACAACATTTAAAAAGAAGGAAAATGGGCACGTATATTATCTTTCATTCATTAGTGTCAAGTTCAGTCCGAGGTCTATCTTGGCCTATAATATTGTTATTGACATAGCCTATACTCTAAACGTTTACTATCTTTTTTCATGTCATTAAAACGTTATAATTCATTGACTTATTTAACAGGAATGTCTTATTCATTTAGCTACGACATGCACATTAAAGGGTTAATTAAAAGGATACGTTTCTGTACTCCCCTGGACAGATGTTATAGTAACCCTAATAAAGAAAGTCAAGACAATAAACAACAAACAGAGAAGTATTGAACTCTTTTATTTACTTCCTGTTCCATTTCACCTCGTCAGGAATAGTTGCCACGGCAACGAGACTGAACACAAACGCTCCGCGACACGTGTTGACAGCTGGTGGAGCGCTTCCCACCGCGACGCTCTTTTTAGTCATTCTCAAGGAGCTTTTATTCGTCGCCTCGGAGACAACACATGGAGAAGTACGAGAAGGTGTTGTGTCTGGGCAGGGGAGGAGCCGCGGACGTGTTCCTGATGAGGCACGTAGAGGGCAAGAGCCTGCACGCGGTGAAGAGGATCAAAGTTGAGGACACGAGGAGAGCAAAAACACACAGGGCAATTCTCCAGGAGGCTGAGATCCTGAGTAGGCTGGAGCACCCTCACGTCGTCAAATGCCACGAAGCCTTCGCGAACACTGACGGATTCATTTACATTGTGATGAACTACTGCGATGGGGGGACATTAGATGACAAAGTGAAAGAGAGGAAACCAACGGAGTTTTTCACAGAGGATACTGTGATGGGATGGTTTGTACAGGTCGCTGTGGCTTTAAATTACATACACGGGGCTAAAATACTACACAGGGACATCAAAACATCAAATGTACTGCTAACAAAGCAAGGTATGGTGAAGTTAGGGGACTTTGGGATATCCAGAGTAATGACCAACACAGCGGACATGTCATCCACATGTGTTGGGACACCCAGCTACCTCAGTCCTGAGCTGTGCCAGGATGTCCCGTACAGTTCCAAGTCTGATATCTGGGCTCTTGGCTGTCTGCTGTATGAGATCTGTGCTCTCAGACCTCCGTTTGCAGCCACAAACCTCCTGAGTCTGTTCTACAAGATCATCAAAGGAGAGTACGATCACGTGCCCAGCAGCTATTCTGACGACGTCTCCTCTTTGATCCAGAGAATGCTCTGCCTCAACCCAGAAAACAGGCCAACTGCCGCCTGGATGCTGAACACTGCCTATGTGCAGAAGCACCTAGAGTCTATCAAACACACAGGGACCAACTGTGTTCATGTGAAAAGCTGTGACATGAATAAAGAAGAAAAAAACTCCACACTACAGCCAGATGTTCTCAGTCCGTCCCACGCGTGGGAAGAAAAAGAGCACACCATGGAGGCCGGTTCCAGTGATGTGGAGGACGAACATGGTGCTTTGTGTGTTGGAGGACACAACCACCGTGACTATCCTGAGGACTTTGATGAAGAGGAGAGTTTGCCCTCTCTTGAGGAGCGCAGTGAGCACCTGGGGTCTCCGATGAGGAGCGATTCTGTTGAGCCTATCGGTAATGTGGAGATGCAAAGTGAAACAACACTCATAGCACCGTGTAAAATACCCAAGTCCTCATTCTGCAGCAGAATGGTCTGGAGTCGTATTTTATTATATAGCCTATTACATTGATGACTATAGTGCATCAATACATAGGCATAATTTCACTGCTGTAGCTTGAGATGGAGCTAGTTTTAACTACTTAGGTCAACACACTGCACAGTATACACCTCTCAATCATTTAGTAGATACAGTATATGACTCATTGTTAACAGGTCAGCATTAATGAAAAACAGCCAGCTGTGATACTCTGAAAAAGGGTGTACAGGATTTTCAAAGCAAAAGCCTGGAACCCTCCTTTCTCTCTTGCAGTATTTTCCGAGGCTTCCGATGTCTCAGGGCAAGCTGAATATCCAGATGACTTTGAGGAAGCCGATGTGGAAGAAGAATATGAGGATGAAGCCGCCTCAGCTCACTCTGCTGCTCCTCAGCAGCCACATGATGATTCAGCGGAGGAGGAGTTTCAGCTCTGCGATGCTGGAGGATTGACCGTCACACTGAAAGCCCTGAAGGAAAAGGGCTAAAAAAAAAAGGACTGCTATAGCGATGGACCGCAAGGTGAAATGAAGGGACCGTAGGAAGTGGAACGGGGAAATATCTGACAAGTGCCTTGTTTGTGAAGTGTTTTATGCAATTGCTGTTAAAAAAAATGCTTGAATAAGATGTGTTACTGCTAGATGATGTTGAAAACACTTGGTGGGGCTAGAGCCAATGAATTCCTGCTCAGTGCGTGCTGTGAGTGGCGTGAATATTTCGGCCTGAGGTTTCTGATTAGCATCAGAAGGAGTGCAATGGTGGTGGTCATGATGAATGAAAGAAATGACTGGATTATCATACAAATTTCTTCAAACTGAAATTTTATATTTATCAAAAGCTTGTACAGTAAATATCCGATCCGTATATTTGAATATTTGATACGTATTTGATTCTTACAGAAACAACAGCACTCGCCAGGGTTTCATAACTTGTAAACTATATAACAGAGCAAATCCTAATGTTCAAAAACATATAAAAGCACCAGCAGGAGGTCCCAGATGTTTGATTCACATCTTTTACATATCCAATGCTTCATATTGTATGTATTATATTCTCTTAACTTTCTCTGTGTTTGATATGTTATTGAACAATATTTGAAATTAACCAATTTCAGTTTATCTTTGCCTCAAAATGAGATAAAATTACAGTTTTGCATGCAACTATGCCTCGAAAGGAAGTATGTGGTATTTGCAGCTTGCCACAAAGATGTTATGATAACCTGAAATATGACTGAAATTAAGTTAAATGATCGAGAAGCATATTTAGAAACTGCAATACAAACACAAACTGGACTCTAATCTAAAAGCACACCGACCTACAGTAACACAGGTTTGTCTGAAATGAACAAAATAGAATGAATATGACTTAACAGTCTTAAGTTACATAAACTGTTTCTAATTCTGATTTCCATGTCTTTTTTGTGGATTTGGTAAATTGTCAGATTGTTCCACTCACACATGCACAATTCTGATGGGCCTGGGATCAAACCAGGTAGCTGATGCTCCTGTCTCTCCCTGTAATTAATTGAATGACTAAGTCCTACTATGTGGAAATACAAACTAGTGACAAATTATAGGGAAAACCAACATAAAGTGTTTTCGTAAGGTTTAATTTGTCACCTGTGCATTTTCACCGGAGCTTCATTCTACAAGCATTTTAGTTTTTCTTTTCTTTTGTCCCACTGTACTGATTAGTGCAATTTGAAGTCCTCATTAAGTAGCTTTAAATCATCCTGACTTTCCCTAATGAAACAACTGAACCAATAAACACGCAAGCTTTAAATGAAGGTGAAATATTTGAAGGAGGCTCAGCGGAGAAAAAGCCACGTGGCTTCCGACCTCCCTTTGCCCATAAAATGACACCTCGTTGTAAATTAGCACTTATGTAATATAAACCCATACGCTCCTTCCCTTCATTATTAAAGCGATACTTTGACATTCTCATCCTCAAAATGAACTTGTAGTGACATTATGGGGAAAATGTTCGGCTTTAAAGCTAATCTGTTTCCGAACAGTACTCTCTGACGTTGTGCACGTGCACACACTCAGATTGTCGGTTGTCATTGTCAGCACGTAAGTTTAATTCCCATACACGTGTAACACCGTTGACAGGTACGGTGTGAAGCAGACTTTTTAAGAATCATATTTTACCAGTCACGCATTTCCACTACAACTCTTTCAAGTACATATCTTTAACATCTTCATTTTAGTTAAGATTTGAATATGCCACGCTCAAGTTTAAATGCCGCCTCAACGGAAATGCACGATTCACATTTTTATCAATACACGATCTCTCATGAGTTGACCAAAGTTTTTCCTGCTCATAGTCAGCAGTCTCAGGTTCACCGACCTACGTCATATTTACTTAGCAACACAAAGCTACACGTTCATCTTTCCATAAGCTAGCACGGCACAGGTCTCTACCACACACTGGGTGAAATGTTTCCCATATGAGCAGAAAGTCCAACTATGTAGCATACATCATCAGTTTGTGAAGGCGAGGTCACTGAACAGTGTTAACAAGAGCTGTGCAAGCATTTGTGCTTGTCCACAGCCATCAACGTGGGTGAATTACTCAACAGGCCCAAGAGGAGGCCTTTGAGGCACCAGCGCCCAGGGGCCTATATCCCATCTGAGCAGGACTAACTACCCTCTAATCAACACTTGTTCACGAAACATCAAAACTACTGCAAACAGCGCTTACATGTACGTATTTGAGTTAGGAAGAAGAAGTTATGGAAATTGGTCTTGGAATTGTGACCGCCGACGGCTGTAGATCTGTTCTGCCATTTTTTTCTTTCACTTCTTTCCCTCGGTGCAAAGATTCCCCTCTTGTGCGCGGAAGAACACTGATGTTCCCCTACACCTGCACACTCATCTGATTCTTCATCCACTGATGGTGTTAAAGACAAGAGCACCACGACTAACTTCCATGATGACAGCTGCACAAACGTATTGACAGCGTTCGCACATTAGACACAGTATGAGTCATGAAGTTGCAGCTTAACAAAGGTCTAAAAAGACACGACAGGTGACCGTAAGTCAAACGAATTAGACATTACAACTACGAATGTTTCATTATTCACTTTTGATTATATCTTGTGTTTTCACTCTATTCGCCCATTCATTTATACATGATAGATAAATAGATAGATAGATACTTTATTCATCCCCAGGGGGAAATTTGTTAATTTCAAATATGATCAAAATAGCCTAAATAATGAACATAATACATAACTGTTATAAAGTCATATTTCTGCCACTTTCCCACAACTGATCAATTGCCAATGGGCACGAACACTGCAATTAGTTTCTAATGATTCATTATATTATCAATTTATTTATATAATTAAGGCTTCTTAAACTATTTGGGTTAATGTTACAGGCTATAGTGTTGAGACTTGATTTACCTTGAACTTTGACTTTATTGCTGGCTATGTTGTCCTCACAAAAGCCAAGCTGCACAATACTCAAGCCACAGCAGCAAATCTTGATTTTTTTTTTTTTTTTGCAGGAAGGCCAGAGGTGGGACACAGTACATGCAATTTGATTGATGATTACCCCCACATGGTTTCCAGGATGTCCATGGTAACGTCTACTGACAAATAACATCAGTTTACGATTTGCCAAAAAGAAAGAATAAAATGATGTATTGGGGTTGTGGATTCAAGCTGACGTTGACTTTCCTGAGCCCGTAACCAAACACAGCACATGTGGTACTTTTTCACAACTTTGCCGCCATAAAGGCATCTGTATGCTTCAACCGCAGCACCTAAAACCCCCACCACCCACCACTCTTTTGTGGCATCAAATTTGTGCGGAGGTGAGAAAGTTGGCATGATTTGAAGTTCTGTCTCCAGCTTTGGTTTTACCCCGCTCCTCCATACCCTGCCCTGGCTCCTGGTGGCTGCACGAATCAGATTCAAGATACTGGTACTTGCCTAATGCAAGTCTGCACAAGACATTTAAAAAAACTTTCAGCATATTTGATAAAGTTGATGTCCTTGCATGATTCTTGATATGTTTGGAGTTATACCAACACAGTTGAATGCACTTATTGTGAGTCTCCTTGGATAAAAGCGTCAACTAAATGTAAAGTAATGTTTTTCTGTGAGTGCACCGTTGGGAGAGCAAGAGGATGTCGGCCCACTGGAGTCAGCCTCCCACTGTGATGGGGCGACTGTTTGGTGTTGATTTAGTTCACTAGACACAACATAAATTCTGTACTACATGTGCTGTGACAGTACATATACTGAATATTACGTATCCCAGTTATATTATTTTCACAGCTAGCGATATCTGATGTTGAGCTGTAATTATGCACAAGATGTGCAAATATATACATGATGTCTACAAACACCAGACGTGTCTACACATTAATCTTAATAAATATTGAATACATTCACTTTAATAATACAAATCAGACAGTGACTATTACATTAAACTTTGTAGGCATTTCCCAGTGAAAATGTAGCAACATTAACAACACCTCACACGCGATCATGTACTGCTCGCATTCTGTTTAGGGGAAGTCCCCACCCCCTCCCTTTCCCACTAACTCTTACAAATGTATTATTAAGATTAAGAACAGAGAAAGCATCGCTGTCAAACTAGCCCCGAGTCGTCAGCGTTATTCATCCACTGGACATGTTGCAAGGCAAACAGAAACTATGAAATCACCTGCAGTTAATAATTACGTGGTAGTGTGAAACAATCATCACCGTTTTTTCTCACCACAGATATTTTATGAGTGGGTGAGAAAAAAAAAAGTAGAAGGGTTGGCCATCACAGTTTATTTTAATTGTCAAGAACATACTTCCTTTTCCTCTAAGAACTTGTTATATTTTGCTCTCGATCGCGCTTCCTCTCGTCAAAGAAGCACCAGTTCACCCGAGCACATTTCTAACAGTAGTAGTAGTGATCACCTCCAGCACCAACTGGTGAATCAGAGAGTATTTTTGGCATATAGCAGCCTCTTGAGAGATCTAAAGTTCCCATGGTCACTAATTAGGTCACTGACCGTCTCGTTATATGACGTCAGCAGAGAGCGCGCGCACACTCTAACCACAATCTTTGTGACGGCAAACGAAGCTGTTAACGAGGGGAATCCAGTTGTGGAAAAAAAAAATCATTGAATATTAATAGATTAAATTACATCACTTCTGGACCACAGAAACTACAGGATTGCTGTGAAGATGATGATGGTTATAGTAACAGTATGAGAAGCTTTACATTAACCACAAAATTACAAAGATTTCTTACAGTATAATACAAACAGAGGGAACCGTGTTATATTGTGTTTTATATATTCACAGGAAATTCACAGTACCATACAATATAACTGTAGGATACTGCTAAACCTAACCTCACAATTGAACATTATAGACTTTAAAATCTGTGGTCATTGTTTTAGATACATTTTAATTTACAGATTTAATATCATACAACAGAATATTGGAGGCTTCTTCTATCTGCATTTGTACACGCAGCTCCTAAATAATATCTAGACAAGCAAATAAGTGTGTAAGGTATACAAAGTTGCATCTAGAGCCCTATCATCTCAACACAATGCAGGGAAACAAGATGTTTGCCACTCAGTCATAACAGAGGTGATGAAACGATTTCTTTTATTCCGGTTGAAGATAGTTTGCAGTTCTTTCTTAATCTTTCGCCGTAAGATTTGAGTTTTTTTTTAGTTGTTTTTTTTAAAGATCTTTAAATAGGCCTAATTGTTACGAACTGTAAAATGGGAAACTTGCACATTACGACATCTTCAAATAAATAATTTGCATCTTCAGGTAGGTGCATACCGCATTCGACTTCCTTTTCCTCTCTGACCTCTGTGTATAAAAAGAATGGGCAGATAGTGATCACTTCAGTACTCACACCTAAAACAACGAAGAGAAGCTGTTAAGGAAGAGAGAGAGAGAGACAGCGCTGCATTATGATGAAGTTCGTGTTCGCCCTTGTTGTCCTGTTGCATCTCTGCTGCGGTTATACATTAAACATGACCTTGAACCTTGAGATTAAGAACAGACTGGATGATCTCAACAGCCTCTACAAACTCAACAACGGCAGTATCACATTGGTAAGTATAGCGCATTGGTACTATCACACATGCTGAGTGGCTTCGCTCTCATGTCTCTCAATGACTGTTGACATCATAATCTGAAACATGAAATATCCAGTGCTTGATAAATTCATTTAATACATTTTCTGTCCTTATAGCCAGAGGTGATGCACGTGCCAATGCTGTATATGAACAAAAATGCAGTAAGTATTGCACCTTTACAAGACTGCACTCTGATCTCCTTGTTACGTTGAGCTCAGTTCACGATGACACATGCCTTGTATGATGGTATGATAACCTAACTAGTATGTTATTTTCAATTGCAGTCTTCCTGTGTGAGTGTCTTTGTCAAGGAGCTGAAGCACATTCTTGACAATGTGATGGTACACACAGCGAGCGAGCATATTCTCCAAGAACTTAAGGCAGGCCTGCAGGCTCTGGACACGAAACCAGAGGTTAGCCAACATGACATCTTGACAGACACTGAGTTCTCACTGTCGACTTTGTGACTGCTGCATCAGTCGTGGTATCCAGGTGCAATATAATCCCCAACCCTCTCCGTTTCTCTTCCAGATTGACCACAAATGCCGAATGAGGCCGAGCACAAGCAAAGGTCAGAAGCCTTTTCAACCGTACATCCATTTCCTCACGAAGCTGAACAACTCAAGGAAAAGATGAAGACTACGATGTTCTGTTACAGGGCTGCTTGGATTGTTTCTGATTAGCTATTTGAAATTAATGTATTAGATTTCAATTTTGATGCAGTTTTCAATTTTTCAAAAATTGCATTCATGTATTTATCAGTATTATTTATGTCTATTTATTTCTAAATATATTAATTTATTTACATAAAACTACAGATTCATTCAGACATTCCTATGATGTAATCAGCCAATTGGATGTGACAAAGTAATATTCACTGTGTGAAAACCTTATTTCAGTTCAGAAATATTGTGCTGCTGTCGTCAAATAAAGAAACTAATTTAATAATTTCTTCACACTGAGTATTTGTAAATCCTTAACTGATATGTTCAAACAAACAACGTTACACTATTTGGATACCAAAAGAAAAGAAAAAAGCGACTAACTCAGTCTGGATCATTTCTTACAGAATAGAAAGAGGTAAAGTGAATGTCTGTCTCTGGTATCTATTCTACCCATCTGGAGAGCAGTACAATGTGACATGTTTGCATGCCAGCACTCAACAACACACATGGACTCAAATGAACCTGCATAGATATGCATGACTGATAAATATGCGAGGCTATGTACTCACACATGAACGCATAAACACGCAGCAGCAGCAGCAGCGGAGGGCTGAGGTTTTCTAACATGGTGGTTCCTAAAACAGCTTGTTTTGCTCTCAGCTGTCTTACTCATAGCTCGTGTGTGTCTTGAGGGTGGCTGGTTACCTGTCATCCCATATCAGACAAAGAGCACTCACGGGTTTCGTCATGACTGGAACAGCTGCACAGGAGATCTTAAAGCTGTATCGGCAGTATCAGTATTATGAGGAAGCGTGTGATGATTGACAGACTTTGTGAAAGGCGTCTGCAGTTGAGGTTTGCTTTGTCTGTTCTCACGCCTCTCATCTCCTTAGTCGAATCCTAGTGTCAGAAGAGAGAAAATTATTAAATAATAGCTTTATTATTGTTATTAGTATTATTATTATGATGATAATAACAACACAAATAATAATAGCAACAATAATAATAATAACAATAATAATTATTAAATTTAGTATAGCACCTTTCAAAGTACACGATTCACAAAGTCCATTTCAAGGATAAAAACATATTTAAAAAATAAACAAATACAACCATAAAACAGTAAAAACAATCACTAAAAACAAATGTTAAGAACACACAAAATCACAAACACCGGGCAGCACAAGGTGAGACAAAGGTCAGTTTAAATCAGTGAGTCTTCTTGTGCATGACACGACTTACAGGAGCAGCAGCTGCACCTTTTAACACGGAGAAGTAGCAGAGCAGAAGGCGGGTGGAGAAAGACGCTCTGAAGTGGGCCCACAATGCACCTCAGCTTGCCTGTCTATCCCTGGTCTCACCTCTGACCTTTGAACTCTCAACACTGTCCGGCTGCTGTGTCTTTGGAGCAAGGCAGCACTTTGAATCCCAGAAAAAGATCTGGGAAAAGGGAAGAACATCTTTTTATAAAAGAATGACAACAAAGAACACACGATCATATTAAACAGAGGGAGAAAAGGACACTGATGTTTTACTTATTCACAGGCTTTTCGGCCAATTTAAGATGGTCCTTGAAGGGGAGGTGGTAGGCAGAGCACAGATATGGATTAACTTGAATTAACATATCAAACATTTGATTAAGTGACGTACGTGTAAGTGTGTTTAAAGTTAAAGGAAGGAACGGACACGTGCTTATTCGCTTTCTTACCCAGAGTTAGATGAGAACGTCGATGCCACTCTCAATTTCTGTCTGTTCAATACAAGGCTACAGCCAGCAGCCTGTTAGCTTAGCATAAAGACTGGAAACAGAGGGAAACAGCTAGCCTGGCTCTGTCCGAATGTGACAAAAATCCACCTTCCAGCACCTCTAACGCTCACTAATCAGGTGATTACAAAAAAAAGACTGCTCATGGCCAATAAATAGTCCAGGATAAGAAATTGCTGTTCTTATACTCTGGGTTTTGTACTGAGTGAACATATAACGTGATCGTTTGTGGGCTATAGACAGCACGGCTAGATGTTTTCCCTCTATTCCCAGTAGTTGTGCTATGCTATGCTAAGCAAAGCTAACTGCAGCCTCATATTGAATGAACAAACAAAGTAGTATAAATCTGCTTCATCTAACTTTTGGCAAGGAAATGTATTTTCCAAAATGTCGAGCTATTCTCATAAAGGCAGACATCTGTCCCCGTCTTCCCTGTTATTGTTTCAAGAAAAAAACATTTAATTGTATTGTCATCGACTTTTATAGATATATCCATTGATAGTTTTTTTCTATAAAATCTGACAATCCAAGTTCAAAGATATTCAATTTACCATCACAGATGACAAAAAACAACAACTGAGAAGCTGAATGCAGAAAACGTTTAGCAATTTAGCAAAAAACATTCCATATTGACGGAATATCAGTGGGTTATCAAAATAGTTAATGATTAATTTTTAATTATTTGACATCGCAATTAATTGACACATTTCATCCTCTGTTTCTTTGGGATCAATCAAAAGCTAGATTTGCATCTAAAATATTACTTCTTTGTCATAAATGAATACAGAAATCCCTATTATCATATTACCATTTATTGTCAGAGTTGTTTATTTTTTGTATAACTTGGATTAAGCATTACAGAACATAGTGAGATATGGTAAGGGCAATAACAAAAGGAAAATTATATTTGGGTAACATACCGTATGTTCTTTCTTATCATTATCATTCCTTGAGTCCCATGGCTTCATTAAATGCCTCATAGTGTGGATGCTTGAGAAGGAAGCTGTTTCTTTTCCTCCTGTCAGAGCTACTTACATCACTGTAAGGTGACAGCTGGCATGTCACGATTGTCTCTGCATCCCACGATGCTCTGCATGCAAGGTACCAGCCTGAACTGAATGAAACTACTATGGGCATGCTGACAGACATTGCCAGGATTTTTACAAGAGGTGCACGATTTATCGGTCAGAGGGAAATGATGCTGACTGCAGCTGAAGGTGACATTGGTCTGCACATGACACTCTGCCACAGATCGATGAAGAATGTGAGTTTCTGATTTAATCTTCTGTTTGAGCATAAATCTGTCTTTTCTTTCATAACATTTTTGTTTTAGTCATCATAAACCTGCAGATAAGTAAAATCCTTCAGGGGGGGGGAGATGTCCGTATGTCCGTGCAGCTTGATTACAGGCGCAACGTTCTCTTTCTCCATTAGGTGGCCTCAGCGCGCCACTGCCCACGCGTGATAGGTCCCTTGTCCTGATTCAGTTTTATAACCTGCATCTTAATTTAATTAAACTACACCACGGCGCAGATTTGACTGGGTCAAATTAAGAGAAAGTGCTGCTGATAACAGGTGGGTTTAATCGGCACTCATGATGTTTTAAACCTCTAAACTCTGCACAAGAGGCCACTCATGACAAGACATGTGTTGCCTGCTGCATCGTGCTGTACATTATGGGCAGTTTAACTGGATTTGGTCGCCGAAGGGGCCACATTCACATGCTCTCATCCGTACTGCACTTTCTCTTGAATGGGGCTACGTCAGAGCGCCGGTGTGAGTCTGAGCCGCAGGAGCGCATGCACAGTCTCCGGGATTTGGCCGCAGACGCGAGCAGAGGCTGCAGGACGACGCAGCGAGAGCGTTGACGGCTGTGTGACATTTGAGTACTGTTGTCTGTGTGTTATTAATTCATTAACAGTCAGCGATGTGGACCCAATCGAGGATATACTGGGGCTCTGGTTTGTTTTGTCGGACATGGAGACTGGGTGCCCTTTGGATTGACTTGACTGCAAAGTTCTCGTGGAAGCGATGGGACGTTTATTTTGAAATATAAAATCAATTGACAGCTGGCCGCGTCCGTGTGAGTAAGAGGTGAGTAGTATCTGATGATGGAGATTAAAATAGATTTTTGCTATGCATGCACGTATACGGAGGTGTGTGACTTTTTTTATCAGACATGCCTTAATAATAACATTACACTCATGGGAACATCCTTATTTTCTTCCCGTTTGAAATCGGAACATCAGCATGCCAATGCACAATATAATCGTCTGTATGGCATACGTGTGCACGTGCAATCAGAGAGTACATTAAAAAGAAACTAAAATAAAAGTATTTTTAACCAGAGTTGCATTTTACAAGACAGGAACAATTATCTAAATTAATACAGATGTATCCAACGTTGTATAATTCATGTCTTTAACCCACAGGACCGCTGATGACGTGAGTGGGCAGTCAGAGAATTCCTAACATTACAGTGTTTGGGAACAAACTGGGCAGACAGAAGAGCTCAGGTAATCACACAGAGGAATTGAGTTACCACTACCTCTGCGGCTCAAATGATGTCGAATCTAACTCACGAAGTCAGGGGGAAAATGTCCTGCCCGGAGGGGGTTTGCCTCAAACACCTCATCCCTCAGCATTCATCAGAAGATACGATGATGGAGATTGTTTGCAAGGCTGAAGCACAGGAGCCCCCTAGATTCTAATCCTGTGGATATGATGTAGCACGACTTTTCAGCATGACGTAACTGAACTCTCCCCGACCCGCACATGTTCAGGGATGGATGACACGAACCTTACAACTGTCATCGACTCTGGCTTTTTGGATGAGGCTCCGTCGAGGCGCGTCTTGACTGGCTGTTTCCTCTCGCTGCTCATCCTCACCACCTTGCTGGGAAACACTCTGGTCTGTGCCGCCGTCACCAAGTTTCGGCATCTGCGCTCCAAAGTGACCAACTTTTTTGTGATCTCGCTGGCCGTGTCGGACCTCTTGGTTGCCATCTTGGTGATGCCGTGGAAGGCGGTGACGGAGATCGCCGGGTTCTGGCCGTTCGGCTCCTTCTGTGACACCTGGGTGGCTTTTGACATCATGTGCTCCACGGCGTCCATTTTGAACCTCTGTGTGATAAGCTTGGACCGGTACTGGGCCATCTCCAGCCCCTTTCGCTATGAGAGGAAGATGACACCCAAAGTGGCCTATGTGATGATCAGTGTGGCCTGGACGCTGTCTGTGCTAATTTCCTTCATCCCCGTGCAGCTCAACTGGCACAAGGCCCAAACTAAATCTTACACGCCTCTCACCGGGTCCTCTTCAGGTTTCAATGCTACATCGTATCGCAGCCCAGAGAACTGTGACTCGAGCCTGAACAGGACCTACGCCATCTCCACCTCTCTCATAAGCTTTTACATCCCTGTGGCCATCATGGTGGCCACCTACACCCAGATATACCGCATTGCCCACAGACAAATCAGGCGGATCTCTGCCCTGGAGCGAGCGGCCGAAAGTGCCAAGAACAGACACGACAGCATTTGCGGCGGCTCCAGCATCGCAGAGTCCGAGAGCTCTTTCAAGATGACGTTCAAGAGGGAGACCAAGGTGCTGAAGACGCTGTCCGTGATCATGGGAGTGTTTGTGTGCTGCTGGCTCCCATTCTTCATCCTCAACTGCATGGTGCCCTTCTGCGAGGAATCGAGCGGAGGGGAGGCCTTCCCCTGCATCAGCCCCACCACGTTTGACGTGTTCGTGTGGTTCGGCTGGGCTAATTCCTCCCTCAACCCCATCATCTATGCCTTCAATGCAGATTTCCGCAAGGCCTTCTCCATCCTGCTGGGCTGCCACAAACTGTATCCTGGAGGCCACAACCTAGAGACGGTCAGTCTAAACAAGAAATGACTAATGACTCTCTCACAGCACTGACTCATCCTCAATACTGAGTCCCAGCGTTCCTGTAGAGGCCAGTCTGATCGACTTCGAACGAGAACGCCGCTCTCTGTGCAGACTCTTAGTGTGGCTGAAGGATACGGTGACCGTACATGTACCCCTGTTTGCATTAGGCGAGTGGCCCGTCCGTGTGCAGACAATGAGAGTACGCTTGCCGTGCACACCGTGGTCGCTGCACTGTCTTCGAGCAGAAGACGCTCCTGAAAGAGGAGAGGGGGATTTAGGGGATTGAGATTAAGACTGTCCGCTGTTATGCCAGGGACCTGGGAGCGCAGCGGTGCTGACACGCCCCTGGGATACATAATCCCATGACTGGGCAGCACACACCCTAATGCTGTCAGACACCGCTCTCTTCAATACCATCACACACACGCACACAAACACAAACGCTGTCACAACACGCTCCTCCGAATTCAGTGTAAATGCAGCACCCAGCATGCACTCTGCGGCAAACCTACATGACAGCGCACAGAAATAGCGTTACTCGTTACGTTTACATGTTGTGCGCTGCAAGGAGTCCAGCGGTCAAATCAAACCATGTTTCATACATGAGCAATGTAGGTGGAGTACATCCAACGTGTGACTTCACGTTAACGCAAGAATGAAAAGCAGATTTGATTTCACATCTGGCTCAACCCATTAATGTTGTGATTTTAAAAGGAACGTTCTGGAAAGTCGACACACGTGAAAACGTGGTCTGAATTTCTTTTGGAAGTGAATGTACACAAGACAGGAAAGATGCAGCTTGTCGAACTGCAGCTCATCGCTGATGCCGGTTCACAATTTACAGTTGTGTGAAAAAGTGTTTGCCCCCTTCCTGATTTCTTATTTTTTTGCATGTTTGTCACACTTAAATGTTTCAGATCATCAAACAAATTTAAATATTAGACAAAGATAACACAAGTAAACACAAAATGCAGTTTTTAAATGAAGGTTTTTATGAGGGAAAAAAAATCCAAACCTACATGGCCCTGTGTGAAAAAGTGATTGCCCCCGCCTGTTAAAACATAAATTAACTTTGGTTTATCACATCTTTGGAAAGCTGAGTTCAATTTCTCTAGCCACACCCAGGCCTGATTACTGCCACACCTGTTCTCAATCAAGAAATCACTTAAATAGGACCTGCCTGACAAAGTGAGGTAGACCAAAAGATCCTCAAAAGCTAGACATCATGCTGCGATCCAAAGAAATTCAGGAACAAATGAGAAACAAAGTAATTGAGATCCATCAGTCTGGAAAAGGTTACAAAGCCATTTCTAAAGCTTTGGGACTCCAGCGAACCACAGTGAGAGCCATTATCCACAAATGGCGAAAACATGGAACAGTGGTGAACCTTCCCAGGAGTGGCCGGCCGACCAAAATTACCCCAAGAGCGCAGCGACGACTCATCCAAGAGGTCACAAAAGACCCCAGAACAACATCCAAAGAACTGCAGGCCTCACTTGCCTCAATTAAGGTCAGTGTTCATGACTCCACCATAAGAAAGATACTGGGCAAAAATGGCCTGCATGGTAGAGTTCCAAGACGAAAACCACTGCTGAGCAAAAAGAACATAAAGGCTCGTCTCAATTTTGCCAGAAAACATCTTGATGATCCCCAAGACTTTTGGGAAAATACTCTGTGGACTGACGAGACAAAAGTTTAACTTTTTGGAAGGTGTATGTCCCATTACATCTGGCGTAAAAGTAACACGGCATTTCAGAAAAGGAACATCATACCAACAGTAAAATATGGTGGTGGTAATGTGAAGGTCTGGGGCTGTTTTGCTGCTTCAGGACCTGGAAGACTTGCTGTGGTAAATGGAACCATGAATTCTGCTGTCTACCAACAAATCCTGAAGGAGAATGTCCGGCCATCTGTTCATGACCTCAAGCTGAAGCGCACTTGGGTTCTGCAGCAGGACAATGATCCAAAACACACCAGCAAGTCCACCTCTGAATGGCTGAAGAAAAACAAAATGAAGACTTTGGAGTGGCCTAGTCAAAGTCCCGACCTGAATCCGATTGAGATGCTGTGGCATGACCTTAAAAAGGCGGTTCATGCTCGAAAACCCTCCAATGTGGCTGAATTACAACAATTCTGCAAAGATAAGTGGGCCAAAATTCCTCTACAGCGCTGTAAAAGACTCATTGCCAGTTATCGCAAATGCTTGATTGCAGTTGTTGCTGCTGAGGGTGGCCCAACCAGTTATTAGGTTATGGGGGCAATCACTTTTTCACACAGGGCCATGTAGGTTTGGATTTTTTTCCCCCTTAATAATAAAAAACCTTCATTTAAAAACTGCATTTTGTGTTTAATTGTGTTATCTTTGTCTAATATTTAAATTTGTTTGATGATCGGAAACATTTAAATGTGACAAACATGCAAAAAAATAAGAAATCAGGAAGGGGGCAAACACTTTTTCACACAACTGTATATCTCATCCAAATGTCAAATCATTATAACTTTAAACCAAATGGACTCAACAGAAACCTCATAAGTTATTTGCTTCACTGCTTGAAAGTGTTTTATCGATGAGTGTCTCGTATTACTTTGCTGATGACCTCTTTGAAGGAGAAGGCAAAGCCCCGAGCAAAGGCTTTGCTTGATTTGTGGTGTCTTTTGACTATTGTGCTTATTTTAGGAGCTGATAAAGAATTGTAACTGACTGAATTATGATAAATCAGTTTTAATTAGCTTGTTGAAGTGAATAATTAAAGGATAATCTCTGTTTTTAACAACATGGGTCTCGTTTTTGTGGGTTTGGCTGTCGTTCCTATCGGCTGTGATAACATTGTATTCCCTAAAGTAATTGCTGACATCTGGGAACACTGATACCATCATGAAACAGGAGCAGCCAGATGATCAGACCAGTTAAAATTCTGCCCACAGTTAAACCAGATTATTAAAGACACAAACAAAACCAAGTTTTCAAGTCATTTTAGGTCAGCATACCTAAAATGTTACTTATAATCCTTGATAGCGCAAGGAAACTGTGTGTCGTGTCATGCACTACAGCTCGTTAAAAAAATAGAAGTTAGAAAGAATAAGGACTAACACATAATTAGTTTTAATTAATTCCAAAATGTATTGTCAATGTATTACTTACATTGTGGTCAGCACGCCCCCAGTTTGGAGAATTAGACAGGATTATGTGTTGCAGCAGCAAAACGTGGTTTAGCCACCTAAAATAAAGACCCACCTAAAATAAAGACCCACCTAAGCGGTGTCGGTGTGAGCTGTGTGCTCAGGACCAGAAACACGCGTCAACTTAAGGTTTACATTCTGCTAAATGTTTGGAAGCTACAAAATAGTTAAGTGCAGCTATCTTTTGATATATTATCCGACATGGAACTGAACTGAGAGTAAAACTTATCTACACCATTTAGGTCAACGGAGTCTTGCGGCTCTGAAGAGAGCAGAGAGAAGTTTCACTTTCAGTTCAGTTCCCTGTCGCTAAAAGGCTGTCTGACGGCAAGGCAAAGCGGTGAAAATATTCTAAATAAAGCCGATACACTGAAGCTGATATTGATTTTTTTTTTTTGGTAGGTTTAAGTGGCTTGAATACGTTTTTCTGGCAGGAACACCTGGAATAAGAAGCTTGCGCACATTGCATCCTGGTACATGTAGGCACCTTCATGGTACTGCAGGAGAACTCAGCATTCTCGGTTAATGTAGCATGCACTGACAGAGGAATTGCTGCAGTTGACTACATTTACCAGCAACATTAATTAGACAGCAACATAAAAGGTGGAATATTTTCCCCTTTAAAGAAATATGTTCTAACCTCACAGTGACGTTGAGACTCGAGGAAGTCATGGCGCCCGGACAAAGAACAATCCCTCACGTAACCCTGCAAAAAAAACAACTTGAATCCGCCAAATAATATATGACAAGTAAAGTAGTTAGAGACTACTTCTTATGTTTGACCTTTGACCAGTGCCAGGCTAGCGGTTTCACTGTTATTCAAGTCTTTATGCTAAGCTCTGCTATGCTTTATGCTAGGCTAACCATCTCCTGGCAGTGGCTTCACAAATACGAGAGTGGCGTTGATCATCTGGAATGAGCAAAGAAGCAAGTTTCACAAAATGTCAAACCGTTCCTTTAACTCAGCGAGTACAATATTATCACGACAGACAGATATTACAGCTAAGACCCGGGAATGATCCTATAAACTGAAGCATTGCGCGTTGGAACAGGATGCATTGCCCTCACCATCAACAGTTACCTCTAATTCGGCGTACTGCATTTATTTTTTTATGTGCTAACTTCATCCGTTAGCTACAGGGACCATTCATGACACAAACTAAAGATGTAGATGTTTGTACTTGGCTAAAACAGTCTTTTTAGAATGTGCAGTTGTCGAACGAATACATGTTGTTTTGTTACATTCATCGCATGGAAACATCTCAAAGCACAGCTTAATAAAAGTCCATGTGTAAAGTTTTGTGAAATAGACCGTGTGGTGTGTGTGTGTGGTTGGCTGTACAGCGTTGACCTCCACAGATCAAACCTCCCGAAGCACATTTCACACCAGAGTCTAAAGGGTAAAACTTAACGGGATCAGCTGTGTCTCACTTCCCAAATTTCACTCTGACATAACTCTGGTGTTCATGGGTCTGTTCCGTCTGGTGATGTACCGCCATCATCAGTAAAGTGAAAGGCCCAATCTGGAGTCGTGAGTAGCCAGGAGCTTTGGCACCTTTTGGCTTTCTTTAATTCATTCATTGCACTAAAGTTGTTTTTTCACCCTCAAACAATTGACTGAACTCTTGCAACAACCAATACCTTACAACTAAACATACATTTTGGGTTACGGCTAAAACACGGAGAGGTGATAGTAAACTTTGACGCACTAATTTATTCAGATTGAATGGGAGTGATGGGAGACGGAGGTAGTTGAAGTGTGAAGGGAGAGCAAAGCAGCAACACAGACGGGATTTTTGCGAGACCCAGTTAAACATTCCCTCCGCGATCTGCCACACATTTCTTAAATGATAAATGAAATCAAAATCTAAGTTGATTAAGTATTACGCTTTTGTTTACTAGACCTGATGAATATCTCTGCAGATGTGCCCCGTCTTCAACAATCATAAAAGTCTTAATCAGATTAATTTCAGTGTAAAACAGTTGCTATAGCTTGTTACAAAAACACTTTAAAGTGATTACAGAGTCGTGAAGCACTCTCATTAAGCAGCAAGTCTCAAAAGATTTAGAGGGCAGATTTGTTTAATCAAATTGAGTTTTTGCTCATTAGAAATCTGATTAAGTGCAAAATACTGTGAGGATAACTCTTTCTCTGTCTCGCACAAATAAACAGAGTTGTCCTATAAAAGCCCACTTTCTCTGGGCCCCGGACTGCCCTTGCCTCTGTGAAACCACCTCAAGCATGCCACGGGAAGGAAGCAGCAATTAATTTGACTGACATCATTCAGAGTGATGGCTGAGGTGGCGACAGGGTGTGTGTGTGCGCGTGTGTGTGTGTGTGTTTATGTGTGTGTGGCGCAGCGCTACTATCACCTGCTCCAGCACCCGGCCCAGAGTCCCTGCAATGTCAACCGCACTCTGTAAAACACACAGTTTGTTTAGCTTTAGCTATCATTTCGCTGCACTGGAGCTTGTGAGACTCTCAAAGCGATACTGTCTTTTCAGATTGGCACGTCGGAGAAGCGATGTCAGACGTGGCAACTTCAGATGATGCTAATGACTGGTCCTGGGGGAATGATTTACTGAGACAGGGAGAGAGAAAGAAAGGGGCAAAGAGACAGACAGAGTCTTATGTAAGTATCAAGCAATGGCTACTGAAGAAG